GACAAAAAATAAAAATATAATTAGATATTTTTTCCTATTTATTTTACTTAAAATTAAATAATAATTATGAATGATCAAATATTTTTATTTTAGATTCTGGCGAATGTAACGTTTTACAATTATGTGATAGTCTGTATACATTGTTTATAAGAGAAAAAAAATATGAAATAATTTAAGGGGTTGTAATGAAAAATAATTATACTCTCTTATTCGTGGTCTACTACGTCTTAACATGTTAAGACAATGCCGTAGGGGTCAGACTTTCAGGGTTCCAAACACCTGCCTCCACCCACAATTTACGGGTTTCTTCTAATAAAAAAGCACAAAGTAATATTTTTTGCAAACGATCAAATTTACTAAATAATTGTTTAAATTTTGGAATGATATTACATTTAAATAAATACATTCTATGATGAATACTGTAATTATTTATAATATCGTGTGCAATCAATACTGATCCAGTTAATTTCTTATGTGCACCTACTTCCGGGTTACTTGTAAATTTATTGTAATAAACAATAGTCTTTTAAGAATAGATTAACAGTGATGACAATTTGGAGTGGGTCCTCCGTAGTAATCGGAAAAAATGTTTAAAATATGCTTCAACAAAATGTTGTACAATCTATTCACATCCTAATGATTTAATGTGGGTACACGTAATTTAGTGCTACAACTTTACGGGTACTTATTTTTGCAAATTAATAAAATTAACTCAGGTGCGTAATGAACGTTGACTTTTGTCTACCAAATGAATTATTCTGTGTTGCGTACTTATAAAGCTATGATATTATTATAATTTTCAATTTTTTTCTTCTTTTAGGCATTGAAACATTTGAAACAATGGAATAATATTGAGGCCACTTGCACAATTTAATATACTTGATTCTATAAAATAAGTTAAGTAACGTTAATATATTTACTAAGTATAATATTATGTACCTATCACTGCTTAGAACCACATTACCTTTTTTATGTGAGATTACAATATTTTTAATCAAAGTTAGTTAATCATAACTAAATRTTATATACTTATATTATAGTTCTATTGACCGTGTATTACATTTAGATTAATACCTTATGTTCARAGATAACATACAATTATTATTGATAAGTTCTATAGTTTGTTTTAAAAAATAGGCATAATTTAAATAAAACCATTCCATTTACGAATAGTGATAATGAAATTGATATTAATGTTGATAATTTTATATAAATAATTTATTATATTAAACGATGTATGATGTATTGATGTTTTGGAAGTTTTAAGATGTTACTCATTAGTTGTTATTATCATATGAAATATTCAAGTAACTGTGGCTACGAATTACGRTTGTGTTACCTATTGGAAAACGTAACATGATACTACAGCTGGCTGAAACTGATATAATTAGTTTATTTTATCAGAATATTGTAATTATTGTTTCTTTTATGAACGATATTTTCCGACGAAGACCCTTAAACAATAGCTAATTAGTACTAGATAGTACTAGATATAAAAATAATAAACCATTAGGGCCAAATGAATGATTTAATTTCCTTATTATGTAATAATATTGATAATAAATTCATATTCTACATTATATACATGCAATCTACATATATATATATATATTAATTTTAGCATCCTGTTATTAAGCTATAAACATGTATACAATTCTTTAACAGTTGGACTCGTGTGGATGTATAGTAAATTACGTGTATAAACTATAATGTTACATCACATAATATTATTCTGTTTACAAATCATGATGAACTGTTAAACTTTTTTTCGAATTAGAAAGATTAAAAATCTATTATGTAAATATATTATACCTACGCGTATCGTGGATAGACGCATGATATTAGTATTTAATATTATAAACGTCGTGTAACACATGTGTTATAGTGAAATTATATTATAAAAATATCATGCCGAAGAAGGACACGCCAAAATAAACTCACAACGAGTCTGAGATAAGTGGTCTTAACAATGATGATGCGTCTCACAATGAGGATGTGTTGGTTGAGTTTAAAAAAAAAAAAGATTATAAAATGTTACCCAGACAAACGTTGCACTACGGTTGGTAGATACATCATTTTTACACGAAGAAAATATTATTCACATTCATAACTATTTTACACAGAGTAAAAATTACTATATTTTTCGTGTCGCTTATTAAATTAMTAAACTGTATTGAATATAACACAAAATTTACATTATTCATACATTCTCTATACGGAGATAACTTATTGGATTATTCCACGATCTCATGTCTCAGTTACATAATATATTATATTGAATTACATACCATTCTTGAACTATAAATAAACTACATATGGTAATAAGTCAGTAATTGAATTCCTCGCATTCTATAACACTGACTTTTATCAATTAACGAACTTAATTTATTTAAAAATGATTTCAACAAAACAGTATTGTGTCTAGTGTCTATACACAATCAGATTCCAAGATATTTTGTTTATTAGACAAGTATTTTATGTTTTAAAATGTTCAGCATAAACACTCGTATTTGTAATAAAAATTATAAGCTTTATCAGTCTGTTAGTATCACGATTCATCATTCATAATATAGAGTTAACTTTGGTATTATTTTATTTCAACCGAATACCGATATTATTTATGTGCTAATAAAATAATAATTTCGATAATCACTTAATTCGTATTGTTCATAAGTTTTTGAAATGTATATGCCAATTAATTAATTACTAATATTGTAATAAAAAAACCATCGTACATACAACATAGGTATTTATTTTATTTGTAATTTTGAGTCGGTAAGGTTATTTCAATATTTTTGTTTTGGGTTATCACGCGAAAAATTTTATGAAAATAAAAACAATTCAAGGCAATAATTATTATTAATGAATAAAACAAAAACTGCATATTTATCACAAAAATCTACGCATGATTCAGACCCTGCCTCATATTTTTGAATATAGGATCGTCAAAGTGGGGAGTAGGCTAATGGAAACAGGTTGAATGCGTGGAAGGTCGTTCAACTGAACATGCAGTTCTGCAACAGTCATGTACGATATGAGACGTATCGCGAAAGCCGTGTTCATGTAACTGCAGTTGGTACAGGAAGACCCGACTGTCGAGTTATGCCGTGAAAACTGAAAACTTCGGGACCGTTAATTTTGTCGTACATATAGTTTCGTTAGATTCCGTTTCGATATTGACCGGAATGATTTGTTTTCGCCATGAATAATCAAATATTTAACAATTAGGTAAAGTTATAATACTATTATACGTCTATAAACATCTGTTTACTTATGGTTTTTAAAACGGTTTTATTCAGTTCTATATTATAAGATAATATAGTTGTCGTATATAATTAAGTTTAATAGTATGAGCAAWGAGTTATATATATAATTAATTAATTATAATGATAAAAGTAAATGTAAAATAAATAATACACAACCTGAATGGTGCATGAAACTTTGCTCAAAGAAACACACTTATCATCGTYGTTTTGATGAAGACATGACCGAGTCCAAGGTAGCACATTTTACTCGTGAATCGTGACGTACGGAACCATAATAAAGTGATGCTTAGTAATCTACCGTATAATTGCATAAAATAATTGCATGTTACTAACGAATGTATGTAAATATCTGTTGTTTTATCAAGGTTTCGAAACATAATTTATTTCCGTACGAATATTTAAGGTAAGATTTCATTTCATTTTATTTTTAACGATTTGCACTATAGGCTATGGACTGTAAATCATATATATTTTAATATAAAATATCAATTTACTATTTTCATCATCTCATAAACATTTATAGTAAAAGTATGTCGGACACTGCGATATRATGATTTATAAAAAAAAGATAAAGAAAGATTTGATAGTACCTATCGTAATGTAATATTTTAAAATGTATTTATATTTATGACCAACTTTTTCCAAAAACATAGTAGGTATAGATTATAAGATTATATCATATTTATATATTTTTTTTTATTCACTTTTGCAATATTAGAGATATTCGACTGTAAAATGTATTTTCTGGCACAACAAAATAACTCATTATTCTAAACCTGTACGCATTCATTGCTACTATATAAATCTAAAATAATATATTCATAAACAGAATACAWATTACAATGTAATCTAAATATACATATAAAATAAAAAATAAATTGTGCTTTGATTCAATGAATCTTCTACCATCTCTAATAAAAATTGAGATGTTGACCTTTATTCTGGCTTCTAGCCATTAAAAAAAATCTTTTTTTATTGATTAATCGAATCTGCACGTTTCAAACAAATTTTTTTTTGAATGCACAACGTCAAACACTATTTTTTCTAGAAATTATTACAGTTCTATAATAATAATAATATAGGTACATCGTTACATAATAATTGTATGCGAAAAAAAGAATTCAAATTTTAAATCCTACATTTACAATGGAGTGATAGTAGGTATATATTATAGTATACGGTAGCTATATGCTAGGTATACACTATCGGTTTAATTAATCAAAGAGAAGAATCCGTTATTATGTACCAGTACATTAAAAAAATATAATAATAGTAAGTTTCTATACAAGTGTATTTAAGCTAAAAATAGAATAAATCAATTCATCCAACCCGTCGATGAATATCAAAAATATTATGACAAGGTAATATTTTATAATTTCTAAGAGCCTTGACCGGATCCGTTTATTAGCTTTTGTCAGGTATCTATAATTCGTTATGCGTGTATTAGCAAAGGATTATAGACTAAATCACAATGGCTGTCCGTAGGTGGGTCGGTGGGTGGATGTCCAATTAATAAATAGATATCTAGTTCGTTAAGTTGAACATTGGCACTTAGTTTTAACGGAAAAAGCAATATCAAACTAATATATCTAGTAGGTACATGATTCAAACACTACATTTTACTGACATAGAGATCATGCCTTTTAATTCTCTGTACATCACTCGTATTGTATATTTGTGTGATAAAATATAGCACTTGACTGTATTAATATATTTTATTCGAATACCTATAATTACATTTAAAATAATATTATTATGGCGTAGAATATAAAGGTCAATTTTAGTTTTAAATGTTTGAATAATAGTCCAAAATTGGACATTAACACTATAGTTAAAGCCGAGAAAATGAAATATGATCTGTATAATTATAATTGATCAATATTTTTTTTGTTTAATCACTCTGTATACTGCAATGATTTTAAATAAAAAATAGTAACGTAGCTACTGCTCGATATTTTTTCTCTGCAAGGAAAACCATAAAATATATGATTTGTTTTTTTATTGGAGGATGGTTATACCATAATATCAATAATATATTTTATAARSSKTWMSWAAAWTKGKTRAAAAAAAAAGTTGTAGCCAAGCCTAAAAATATATTTATGTTAATAAACAAAAAAAAAAAAAATTATAATGTAATAATAATAWTGTAGTTGACACAACCATATAATTGCCTAAACCACTATTATAACTTGTTTGCAATAAAAAAAACGTATTTAAGAATTTTAAATTAGGTATTATAAAAAATAATTTTATGTTGTACAATCAAAAATCGTGACTAAAAAAATKTATATTATCTTTTTCATTAACTTGTTTTTGATTGAGTTCCGTTAAAACGTGTATCTAAAAGAGTTTAAAACTTTAAACTTATAAATAGTTAAATATATCGTTTTCTTAACTTTTAACTTAATCACTATTAAATATAACTTAATAATGGCTTTATTTAATTAACTCAAATTAATGTTTTTTAATTAACTTACCCAGATTTGTGTTGTAACTTTAAATCTTAAATAAATTATTAAGTCAGTTAATTTTGGTATCTTATTAAAAATCTATTATAATTTATTGAATATTTTATTTTTATTCTTATTCTACTATATCAAAAATGAATATAATATAATATAATATAATATAATATAAGTAATTTTTTTCATAGTCATAAGTAATAGAACTAAACATCGTTGTTCAGTTATATATGACTTATATAGAATATTTAAATTCTAATTTGAAATATATTTATTAAAAATATCTAATATCTAACTTATTCACCACTGGTTTTCTAACAATGGTTGACCATTTTCTTACCTGAAATAAATCTTTTTAATTTGAATAGATTTAATGTTATACATGACATTTACTTATTGAATTATATATTACTTTTACTGTTGTATGTATAGATCCTAAAACTAGATATTAAGTAAACTTCCGATTTCAATAAAATAAAAAAGCGCGTGTCACAATAGTACACTYGTGGGAAGTGAAGATGATAATGGTAATAATKAACACAATTTTCGAATGATTATTCTCTATTTTTGAGCTCGAAAGTTTCGCTCACGTTCAGCACCAGTTGTAGGTTAGAATAAGTTAGTAAACTAACACAAACATATAATTATAGTTAGTAACATGGGACGTGGTTGATTGACTTTGGCTTGAACCTCAACGATACATTACAGTTCTTTCACTTGTTCCGTCATCAATAGGATACTTATATATATTTTTTTTTCATTTGGTAAAATTATATTTTGACCGATTTCACATTATAGTTGACATGTCAAAAAAACAATAGCAAAGATGAAATAAATGTTATAAAGTTAGGTCGCCTCTAGCAACTGATGATAAATAATAATAGAATTACATTACCATAACAACCTAATTATACTTTTTAGATTCTAAGCGTAAAGGTAATCACTAATAATTTATAATAATAATATTAATTACTTATTATTTCTTATGTTGAATTAATTCAATATCCGCATGACATAAACGTGTACTGAAGTATTACATGGAGTGCCAATACTCTCTTTCTTTTTTTTCTTTTAGAGTGAACTAGGTTACTAGTTTCTAACAAAATAAATATTAACTGCATCTATATAAATAGATACAATTGTTATCTTGGATGGATTAAGTAGTACATAACAATATGTTCTAGAAATCAGATGGTTTTGTTTATGTTGTTTTATATCAGACTAAGGGCTTCGAAGAGATTGTCAGACATTCCTGAGATTTTTATGTGGTTTCGATAGTAGACAAGGAGGTTCTCCACATGTTTGGCACATTATATGTTCTTCTCTGCGGATGAGATGATTATCTGACATACTTGAGTCCTACTTTGAGTTATGCTTGAAATTGTTAAGATCATTGAACGAATCTTTACAAATGTTAACGGTAGGATTGGGCAGTTGAATGGCTACGTGGACTCCTTTGAGGAATGCAATGTATTCCGTTGTATATGTTATGTACACTGTAATGGTCGAGTAGCTTATACAAAAATAATTGATCGCCGTTTATGATAATGTTCATCGCATTTGAGTTGGTTTTAGAAGCGCCTGTATAGATTTGTGGGTTAGACGAAAGTAGTCGAAGATTTCATTGGATATTTTTATATTATGTATTTTGGATATTTTTATATTATGTATTTAACGTTTTTTTTTTTTTTTAGTATAATCTGTTAAACTGTTGTCTAAATCAAAAGGATACAATGTTTAATGTTTATTATATTTTATTATTTTTCGAAGGAARTATATTATAATCTTAAACGAATCATCTATTTTCGTTTATATTTTTTAATTGATTCATAAAGTTGCGTATTTTTTCATTTAGATCATTATTCTCATGTTGTAATTTTTCGTTCTTTTCGTCTATCATTTTACATTCGATCTTTACAGATGATACACGATACTGAATATTAAACAATACTTCTTGTAATATTGATTGATGATCTGGCTACATAAAATTATACATTTCTAATTAGTTTGATTCAATGATTCATCTATACCTAACTATTTTTAGTTTAGAACATTTTTTAAATGTTAAATTATTAACGTTAATAATATAGTTGGTACATTTATAATAAACCTTGTATACATRAATCTATAATAGGTACAAGAAGTGGTGTAGTCAGGGAAGCCAAAGGAGCTATAGCTCCTTCATTGACTGTGTTTATTTTAGCCATTAGAGCCATATGTTATAATTTATAATAAAAAATATTGAAATATTATAAATATAGTAAACATATTATAAGTCCTCTTTATTAGAAATTAAATCACTTAAACATATAATATTTATAATATTTTTTCTTACATTATCATAAATAATTATGAATTAATCACACAGCCACATGCAGTTAATATGTTTTCTACAGTACTTTAATAATACGAGCCTCGGAACCTACCTTTTACAATTATACCAATAACTACTATGCCCTTATCTCATATGAAGCATGTGCTTACTGTTAGTAAACAGACATACAATAATACAAAATATATGATGGTTGACATTAACATTTAGCAAATGATAATTTATATCATATTAATATATTATATACCAGTTACTGTAACTCATAGACATAGTTTATTGGTCTATGCTGTTACTTTATTCATTTTTTGTGAGAGTAGCGAAAAGTGGGTATGAATTTCAAATTATATAAATATGAGCGATAAACAAAAAAATGTATTTTTAATAATAATAAATATATATATATTAATGTATTAAAAATATTATTTTAGGTTAAAAATTAAAAATAAAAATAAATATTAAATTTGTATTTTTTGTCAGACTTAGCCTACCCTTCCCCCACATAAAATTTCTGGCTACGCTACTGAATACAAGCCTAAAATATAAACAACTCAATTGGTATACTGATCTAAACTATATGCAGTGCAATAAATTGGAATACTGACCCTAAAATAAAAATTGTGATTTAGTCGCAATTGGTCTATACTGATTTTCKCATTTATTCTTAATGAATTACACTGCACTAATATCACTGCGTATCAAATTTCTTCTGGGTAAAAGTGTGTCAGAATATTTTTACAATGATCAATTTTATTTTGATAACTATTATTCAATATTGTGCAACAAACTCTTTGTTCGTATATAATTATTAATTATTAAACAATGGATTAACTCATGACTTTTTCCACGGTCAGGTAGGATCGAGATGCACGTAAACATGAGATAAGCTATTGGAACGAAAATTCAGATTAAGTGTTTGACAAATAACCACGGTCAGAAATTTTCATGCAATATTCAAAACTGAAARACTTCTGATAATAATAAAAAATGATTAAATTAAAATTAACTGATAAATATCTATTAACACTTGTAAGTCGTAACAAATAATTTTGCTACAATTTTTTATTTTTGAAATATAACTAAGCATAAATTAATTTTGATTACATTTTTAGAAATTTTTGAAAAATATTYATTCATTTTAAATGCAATGTTTTACTCAGTTTGGTATATAAAATATAGAATAGTTTGCGTGCAGCACTGTAAACACGTCCATTAGTTGTTTTTTAAATATATTATGTATGTATAATATAATATAGTACTTATAGTACCTACTAACTAATCAGATTTAAATCATGAATTATGCTACAGTAGTATAGTCAGAATAGTTCATGATTTGCATAATACATTCCATATGTTGTTTTGTATGCCCGATGCCTAATGCTATAAATACGTTTTTTTTATTCATTTGATTCACACTCGTAACAAACAACTTTTTGTAGAATATCCCGTTTAATTCGATAAATCAAATTACCTCTTCTATTTGTTCACAGGCATTGAATATTGGAATTATATTCGCTTTGTCATCGGATGTTTCCAATTCTTGACATAAGTGGATACATTTCATTATATCTTCACCCATCTTCAATTTAATGTTTAAATTCTGTATTTCAATGTAAAATTAATTAATTATATTAACATTATAAAATATTAATAGCTATACGCTAATTATTTGTTTGGTAGATTGGCAAAGAAGTGACTTTTGTTTGTGGCCGAGCTTAAAATTATTTGCGACTTTGTTTCTGAAAAGTTTCAAACCCTCTTGTGCTTCATCTCTTTTTTGTATCAATATATTTAATTCCTTCAATAATTTAGGTTTGCCTGTTTCTTTTTCCAAGGTACTTATTTTATTCTAATAAATAATTGTATTATTAATATCACAGTAAAAATCTGCGATTCGTAAGTTATTGTAAATCCGTAGTCTAAACTCACTAATAAATCTTTAATTCGAATTTTTAATTTTTTTGTAGTAATTATTAATTGATCGTTCAATGATTTAAATTTCGAGTATTCTTTAGTCATATTTTGAGTTTTTTTTACATAATCATCCAAAACAGAAGAATATACATCCTTCATATTAGTGTAATGCATTATGTAGTCCCTCCAACAAAATTTATTCATAATTGATTCGAACTAAATCAAAAGATAAACTATGAACTTAAAGCATAGAGTGTACCTAACGACTACGTCGACCAAAAAAGAAGATTTGGTTTTTTTAGACATTGGCCAATACTTGGTAGATTTAAAACGATATACAATTAGATATTTTAAAAATGTATACGATTCCTGATATAAGATTTACCTACACCTATTTTAAATATGATTACATCAGGCCATCAGGGAGTAATCGTACTCATTGGAGCTATCATTTTTAATACCTGATTAAAGTTGTACATCTGATCACTATATTATTATAAGACTAAGAGTTTAATCTATAATATTATTTATTTATTTTATGTATTCATTGAATAAGATACTATATTTTATATAACATAAGATATTTTATAATACGTCATCCATATCACCATAGTATGGTAAATGGTTATACAAGGTACAGTAATATCGCCGATGAATATAATGTTACCTATAATACAAGTAGTTATTTATTTGTATAATTTATAATGAAATGCATTTATTTATACAGCAATATAATACTCGTCATTGATTACCGTTACTGTAACTCTTTGCCCTTTGTGATCAGTTTCGTTCAATTTTTATAACCATCAGCATTGATTATAAATATTAAATACATTAAGTTACACACTGGCTGGTTTTTCTATGGTGCACAATATTATTKCGTAGATAGTGGACATTCTAAAATATTTATAATCAATACTATCAATAAGGGCACATATAACAACTTATCACCATTAGCTTAAAACTTTAAAAGTATAATTTATCACGTAATATATCAATTTTACAGAATCTTAATGTTTTTATAGTTAACTACTTGAAAAATTATCCAATGAATATTTTTAATAATWATAGCACTGTCGTCACTGTAATATTTTAAATATCTGATTTTAGCCATAAATGTGCAAGTTAAAGTTAAGTACGTTTTTTTGTACTTACCCTCCCACGTTCGATGTCCATATTTTCAATGTGCTTGTTTTGAATTTTAGATTTCCACTTATCTATTTCAAGTTGTACCACTTTGCTATCATATTTTAGCATCTTCCAAAACGWGTCGTTCTCATTTATCCTGACCTCTAGTTCTGCCAAATCTACAGGTAGTTCTAATTCTAATTCAGCCTGATACTGGTGATGTATATCTTCAATTTCATTTTTAAATGCACCTTTCATGACGTAACAATTAATTATTATTATTATTTATTTATTTTCATTTAAAAATAGAAATTTATACATACAKGTAATTTTTTACAAATATTTATACATATTATAAAATGTCATTACTCATTATACATAATGATTGTYTCTGTAAGCTAAGATTGTTGTGGAGACAAGGTTCTTAAAAATATCTCGTACATTTACTAAAATAATTAATTATAGTTAAATTAACACATTATAAGTCGATTGWAGATGATTTAGTGATTATAAGCTTATCATAAATATTTTATTTGTATTATTGTGTAACGAGTATATTATAATATGTATATGGTAACCTAACTTATGTGTTAACGGGGCACTACCATGCCACATAAAGTTTATCACCATGATTAGTAAAACCACGAAAACAAATTAAATGTGTGATATTAGTTAATAAATGACGATAAAGCATCTAAAGGATCCTTAAATCATCTTATGTGTTTTAGTTTGTTTATCAAAAATTTACTATTAACTGTGCTCCATTTAATATTGTGTACCTACATATAAGAAAAAAAGTTTTTGGGCTAAGAAGATCAGCATTTGTCTCTAAGGATAGTTAAGTTATTTTCTATTATCATTACTATTACTATTTTCTTGATTCATTAKATTACATTAATTTTTGCCAAGAACGTCACATAATATAATATAACTTACACAATGCTGAACAATTGCACTGTATATATAAAATGATAATATAAGTAATTGTGGAATGTTTAAATCGTCTGTGTTAAGTATTTTCTTAAACACAACAAAATAACTAAAATCATTTGAGAAAAATTATTATTTTGCATCAAATATCTAAATGTTGAACATAATTATGTTTAAAAGGAGACATTCTCTCCACAACAACTAAATTAAACCATAAGATGTAAGAACTATTTTATTGTTTTCTTCTACGGTAGTTCTTATGATCACTCACGTCACYACCTTTAGAAGTTAAAAAGAGGTGGAAAAAATCTTAGTTCACTACTTTCTAAGTCTTGTGAAAAATCCATTGAAATTTGTTCAACTGTCTAGTTGAAGATTTGCCCGGACACACAGACAGACGCTTTTATTTAATTTTATTGTATAGCTGATATAAATTGAATTACCTAATGTTGTACTAACCAATTCCAAATTCCTTTGACCATTTCTACAACGATATTCTATGCATTCGTCCAACTCGTTTTGYAATTTCTCTATTATTTTATCTTTAAATTCCATTTGTATAGTTAGAGATCTTTGGCAGGACTAAAAAATGAAAAACTGCCATTAATATTAAAATGTTTACTATTTCAATACCAATAAATTATTGAAAAATATAATTGTATTTAAGTGTCCAACAACTTTAATAGCTTAAATAATAATAACTAAGGTTGTTTTTAATGTTTTTCAGGTGAAAAAAATACCTTCACAGATAAGTTTTTTTACTTAATTTTAGAATTTAATTACAAATCTGATTCGTTAGTAAGAAATAAGAATATGTAGTGTATGACTTGCCAAAATTTGATTATGCAAATCTGTGTCATTATATTCAGACAATATGTTTTCCCAATGTTTAGTAAGAATCTTAGTACTATCTATGGTATCGTCCACATTTTTTGTCAACATATCCTGTTTATAATACACACGTGCACATATTATATTATAGTTCAAAAATAAACACCATACTTTATAATCAGTGGATAGTAAATTGTTATTACTGTATAAATCTTCGTTTTGTGGCGTAATATCCCCAACATCTTCTCTTCATTTCTATTCATAATCAATCTGTGTAATTACACACCTGCTAATTTATATGAATACACGTTGATACAATTTATTTTCGATTAATCTTCATAATAATATTATAAATACCTGATTATTATAATTATTATTTATTTTACAGCGTAACAAAATCTATTTAAAATAAACGGTTGTTGAGGAAATATTATAGTGGCATATTCCTTATAATACAAAGAAAATAATTGAACTTTTTTTACGTAGATATATGACCTTTAAAAATTAACTATGAGTCACTGTTTATAATAAAACAAATGATGTTGGGATGGCTTCTATAGATATAGTATAACAATAAAAACCGATTGTACTTAGTCTAATTATTTTTTTGAAATTTAATTTACTAATGATTAATAAATTACATCATTACTACATACTTTGTGCATAACAAGATATAATAAAAACAAATTAAGTCTTCTTATATAACGATRATTATAATTTATTCATGTTATTTATGTAATAATCACATTATAAGTAAATTTTTTAAATTTAAATAGCTATTTGATAATAAAACAAAGCTATTTAAATATAAAAATATTATATCAATGCTAAGTACTAACCGTTGGCCATTGTTATTTCAACAGATTTAATAAATAACAACATTTTTATGATCACTTCAGTTCTTCCGTAATTAAATATCTGTACCTAACTAATATAGTCAAATTTTTTGGAATTCATATTATCGATTGTGCGTTGTGTATATCTTATGTAGATTACGGAGAGTATTTAATTTGTTCACTTTATATCTAAAATATATTTTAAAATATTTAACCTTAACAAAATTTGAGTTATCAGCCAAAACTATTTTTTTATGAATTTAAAAGTAGTTATGAAAAATCAAATTTTTATAKTTTCCATTTTTGTGTAGGTATATAAAACACTGTATATAATATTATTACTTTTAATAAATATAAAGTGGCTTGGTAAGGCGTTGTATGTACGCTAAATCTGCGGAAATGCACTGAGCGTACGTATACCAGCTGCAGTTGCTAGCTCCCAGATTTGTGACCCCCCTGAATTTTTAGCAACATATCCTTACCTCACATACACAAATAAGTGTTCTAACCTACCAACTCAAAAACCTACAGACAAATACACAAAAAATAACCCCTACGGTACCACCCGACACCCATTACCAAGGGTCCCCCTAAAAAAATTAATAAATATAAAACAATTAAAA